TTCATGTAAATAAATACCTTTTTTAATGAAAAATTTAACTTTTTACAATTTTAATATTTTATGAATAAAGACAATATTTAAATCTGCCATTAATATAAATATATAAAGTTAGTAACTTTATAAGTAAGTAGTCAGTAACTAAAGTTGGAAAGTAAGTAAGTTAAGTAATAATATTTTTCAACTAGATTTTAGTAAAAGTATAAAATGGATATAAATATCTCAATAAAATTACACAATGTATGTATGTAGGAATCCGTAGTAATGAATAAAATATTACTAATATTGGTTCAAATTATATAAGATACAAAAAAAGCTAAACACTAAATAGACTCATTATTGAGAAAAATAATAAATGTAAAATTTATTGTAAAAAATACGAAAATAAATATCAATTTTTCGAATAGTACGTCTCCGATCAGGCCGGATTCACTTATTATTTTTATATACATAGATAATAGTTTTTCATTTTTTTTTACAATTAAGTGTGTTTATGTACAGTTTATTTTGATGTGGTTTTAAAATACTCGATTAGTCCGGTTTCAAGCAGATCTGGATATTACCGGAAGCGATTATCCGCACTATGCGAGGTGTATTTATTTGAAATTAAAAAGGTTGTAAACTATTTAACTACTGTGCATATTTACGTTAATAAAAGTATGAACTTAATATAAAACTTTCAATAATTCCTATTATAAGAAATCAATGTAGAGATTTGCTATATCAATTGAAGTAATGTTGGTTTACCTCGATCAAAGTGCAATTTTTAACGTTTCCAATGATTGCAATAATGACTCAAATGATTCGAATGTTGGAATTCCAACAAGAACTGTGTATATACTGTGGGGATTCGTTGTGCCAATCAAAGCTCTAATCAATCGCCGCATCGGGGCAGGATTAGCATTTTTATTGGGCCAGGGAATGAATGGTGAGCTCTTTTGTTTTCTGGGAAAAGCGGGTTGATGTTTGGGGATGGGGGGAGGATAAAGAGAGAGGACACCCTCGTATCCGCTCGGGGGGAACAAACAGATTGTCTCCAATTATTATCCCCGTCGTCCCGCTTAAATAATTTATCAGCAGTGTCGGGATTTCTGCGCCGAGCCGAAGGGGGTTGGAAAAGAACGAAACTGGGTTTGAGTTGCGGAGGGGGTGGCTCAACGCCACGTCGCGTCGCATCCCCGTATTTCATTTATACGCGAGGAACGCGCGATCGAATTGTAATGTTTTTATGTGCGCCGCGAGACGCGGCAAAACGACACGGATTTTGCATATAAAATGAACCCTGTCGTCGGAGGCGGCTGAGGAAGAGGAAAGGCGTCGTTTTAGGGTTCAGGGTTTAAAGGTTCAAACGACTTGTCCGACTTTACATTTTCTTCCATATCCATTTAACGAAACGTTGTTTAGCATATTCGCCCTATGTTTGTTTGTTTCTTTGTTTGTTTGTTGCACTTCCTTGTTAAATCCCGAACCGCCGCCTCTGCCACTTGGAATTCACCAAATTTACTGAAAGGATTTAATCTTTCGCAGTTTAATCCGTTCCAAACTTGCAGATTTGTAAAGCAAACGGCGCAACCTTTAAAACCGCAACAAATTCGGTCTCCGGATATTCCCGGGACTTTGGCACACCCATCCTTTTTACCACCCATCCTCCCATCCAACGCAGACCGAGTTCCCTTGTTTACTAGCTTAATAACCCGAATGCCGCACGAATTTCCGTTCAATTCAATTGTGTGTTGTCTTCCACTTGAAATCGGGAAGACAATTCGTTCGACCTCCCTGAATTCCATCCCTTTATTAAATCTCACAGTCCATTTTTAACCTACAGTTACCTAAATTCCGCACACGAAGTTCTCAAATGCAACAAAAAAAATTACTGTGAATTATATTTCTTTCTTTTCAATTCTTCTGTTGTGCTTCGAAAATAAAGACATTAAATTAATTAAAGAAGTTTACAGAAAATTATCTTATTTTATAAATTATTTATGATATTTGACATACCTAAAACATGTCTTTTAATTACTATTACATAAAACACATTTGTTGACATCTTACATTTATTTAAATTACAAATTAATTGATTTCCCGGTGAATACTCCATATAATTATAAGAATTTTATTATAATATGTTTGATAAAAATATATAATAAATTTGAAAACTTTGTACAAAAATAATTCATGGAAAATTCATCAAAATTTATAGAATTTTTTTTTGTTTTCAAAGTATAACAGTAAAAGTTACTTTCAAAAAATTCAAAGATATAAATACAGGCTTTTCAAAATTACATTGTCACATAAATTTGGATTAGGTCTTATAGTCTGATGTGTTTCATGGGCTGAAAAATATGACTAAAATTTGAGCACTTGATATAATATAAGAAAATGGATAAAAGAAAATGTATAAGAAAAGAGTAAAAATATTTTACGTGAGTTTTGGAAAGTAAAGAATGTTATGTAATCAAAATTGGTATTGATGATGTGTCAAGTCTTCATCTAGAAACTAATAGTTTCATTTAAAAAAAAATACTAGGTTTTTCTTAGAATTGATTGGTTATTTGGTTTTTAAAAAAATTGTTTAAGATGAATGAAATTATTTCTTTGAATCAAGATTTTTTAATGAATGAATGAATTAATGAAATGAAGGTGAGAAATTGATGTTTCTTTTATTAAAATGATAGAAATCAATCGTTTGGAAATATGTAAATTTTGGATTGGGATGAAATGGAATACATTCATGTTTTCTTCGATTCGTTTCGGATGGATGTTTGAGGGTTTTGCGTGATTGGCGATAAGGAGCAATATCTCTTAGGGCAGATGAGTAGCGAGTGTTACAAATCTCCCCCTTCAAGTTGCGCTCTAGTGGGGCCACTAATGGAAATTCATCTCAAGCATCTCGCATCTTTGCGACCTCCTCGTTCCTCCGTCCCCAGCCACGTCCTCGTCCTCATCTTCAACTCGGATTTTTCCCAGTCGAAGCTATCGATAGAACGCACGGAGGATGGATAGAATCGGTTGACGGATTGCCGGATGAGGACAAATAGAATACGGAGGAGAAAAATCTTTCGACAAAATTTGCTCGTCGTGAAAAAGCAACTTGAAGGTGTCGGTGACGTCTGCACATAGTAGGAGGAAGGAAGGGAGAGAAACAGAGAGAGTGAGTGAGGAGATTGGATAAATGTTGATAAAGTGGGCGCACGTTGGAATGGATTTCCGGGCGCGGACCCAAAACGAAAACGTTTTGCGTTAATGTTTCAGAGAACATAGAACTTTGTAACCCTATTACTTTAACTGCTGCGACACCGATTCCGATAAATTCCTTTCCGATAAAGGTCCCAAAAGGCTCCACTCGCAAACAAAACGACACGTCGAAATTTTATTTGATATACGTGCGTAATTAATAACAATACGGAAGTACTCAATATTATAATTTAAGCATACATCTACATCATTTCCAAATCAACAGTTAAACTTTAACAGTTTACACAATTGAAGTGTATACATTACCAGCTATATTGCCACAATAGAAACAGTTTAATTTTCATATTTGAAAAAAAGAAATGCCCGGCGCATGCACAGTTTCTAAATACAAGTTAACGGGTATTTTTTAAATCGTTATAGAAAAACACAATTAATCAATTCATTTTATTAGGAAAAAGCATAATTTTATAAATTTTATACAAGTTTTCAAGGTGAAGTTATTTTCTATCTAATATAATTAACTATTAGTTTTGTATATATTGAAAGTAGCGGTAATTAAATTTTAGAATATTATTTTATTTTTATTTATAATTTAATTCAGAAATTTATATAAAAATTATGAAATGAAAAAATTTTTTTTTTTAATATTATTATAGCAATATTTTTCAATAATTAACAAATTCACAGAAAAATCATCAATCAATTGAAAAAAATTTAATAATATTTAAAATTTCAAAAATAAAATATTGTTTAAAAATTAGTTATTTTCATTTTGTGTCTTTTAAAGTATGAGAAATAAACATTTAAATGAAAACAAATTGATAAAATTTCATTAATCTTCAATTAACATTTTTTTTATATTATTAAAGAAATCGAATTAAAATTATAAAAAATATGTTGTATTTTCTTAATCCCTTGTGGTCCAACTAAATTCTGTAAAAAAATGTCCTTGTTTCTTGATAAATTAAGTTGAAAATGTGTAATACTTAACGAATTAATGCATGATCAAATTTTTCTATTTTTATTTAATATTTGAATAAAACCATGTGGTTCCACTGAGGAACCACATGTTGGAAATAAAAAGCTTGGCAATAATTACTCTTTATGTTTTCCATTGGTGAAACCAGAAATCTACTATATTTTATGTATTACTTTATATATTTTATATCATTACATAAATAAACATCAATGATTTCTTGTTTTTTTTTTAATGAATAAGTTTGAATATGTCTAGTAAATATTTATCAAAAAAATAAACAAGGTAAATCTTTATAAATCAATTGAAATATAACTATTAGAATTTATTACTAATTGAGAAAATTTCATTAATCTTTAATTTTCAAATATTGACAATACTACTAAATAAATCGAATCAAAATTGAAACATGTAAAATATGCATATAACATAATTGAACATCATTGATTTATTGTGAATGAATCAGAATATGTGTAGTAAATATTTAGCAAGAAAATATATAAGGTTTATAAGAAATATTATAATATGTTTTCAATATAAAATTCTTTGTTATGTGACATATTCTAAATGTATAATTTGCATTTCAATGTGATTTGAGTATGGTTGGAAGTAATAGAAACGATGCATTGATCTCCTCCAGTTCGATTTTAATCCAATTAGAGAGTGTGCATTGCGTGCGAGCTTGTGCATAAAAGGTATTCCGGGATTGAATTTTCTTGATTACCATCCGATAAATGGATTCTCCCGTGTGCAATAAAACACTTTTTTTCCCTTTTATTATTATTATTGCTTCTACTATTATATGCGGTTCGTTTGTTTTGTTGTTGTGTAGGTGCAAAGCGTCGGATAGATACTTGAAGGATCTTCCCAGGACTTCGGTGATCATCTGCTTCCACAACGAGGCATGGTCCGTGCTCCTTCGGACGGTGCACTCCGTGCTCGATCGATCGCCGAGACATCTAATCGAAGAAGTCGTCCTGGTGGACGATTACTCGGACATGGATCACCTCAAGGATCAGCTGGAGAAGTACTTTTCGAACGAGCCGAAAGTGAAGATCATCAGAGCGCAGAAGAGGGAAGGTCTCATCCGGGCCAGACTCATGGGTAATTAGGATGCGACCGCTTTGGGGGTGGCTTTGATTAAGTTTCGGGGAGTTTCTGTCTACAGGGGCGCGCCACGCGACCGGCAAAGTTTTAACCTACTTGGATTCCCATTGCGAGTGCACGGACGGATGGTTGGAACCGCTTTTGGATAGGATTGCGAGGGATCCGACGACGGTGGTCTGTCCGGTCATCGATGTCATCGATGATACCACCTTGGAGTATCACTATCGAGATTCGGGCGGCGTCAACGTTGGAGGATTCGACTGGAATCTTCAATTCAATTGGCACGCAGTTCCTCCCAAGGAGAAGCAGAGGCATAAGAATTCCGCGGAACCTGTGTGGAGTCCAACAATGGCCGGAGGACTTTTCAGCATTGACAAAGTAAGTGAAGTTTGCACGTATTTCGGCGGGATGCGCAAATGCAAACGGCATAAATAAGGCATTATTCGCGATTTACAGCCGAAGTTTCTTGGAAGAAGGAATGGGGGTTTGCAAGTGAAAGTTCCGGCGGGCCATCCGTCTTTCCGAAGGCAAAGACAGACAGATGACGCCTTCGAGATTTTCCTCGCATTATATTATTATTAGATGTCCCTCCGGCACGACCGAAACTTCACCAATTAACTCTTGCGCTGCAATTTACCATAGTCCCACTTCATCTAACAACACGACCAAAACTGAAAACGAATTATTTTTCTTCTCAACCATACGCATTTTAATGAACAATATAACCACTGCTTATTCAAACTTATTATTAATATTTATTATTTTTCAAAAAATTTAAGTTTGTAATTTAGAATAAATAATTTGAAAAAATCGATCTATAATTAACTAATTACATAATATTTATTACATCAAAATATGCGCAATTTAAAACTTCAATTATTAAATAAAATACATAAAATGTTTTCAAATTAATGGGATAAAACAAAACGTGTTTTCGAAATAAAATCGGTCTTTAATCACATTTATCACTACGTACTAATTTGTATATAAAAGATGCGCAATAATTACTATTTCTAATGGAATCATGAGTTTACTGAAAAAAATAATAAAAATATATTAGTTTAATGTTTTCAAACAATTTTAATAAATATGAAAGCAAATTGAAAAATATTGGAATTTAATTGTCATTATTGCAAGAGAAGATTGAAATTTATTGAATTATAAAATTTATTAAAAAAAAGTTTTATAATTAACTTGAAAATTTAAAATAAATCTTATTAAGCTTTAATTATTACATAAAACTAATCGAAAAATTAAATATGTTAAATATTTCGCTACAAACGAAGTAACATTTACTGAAAAATGAAAAAAAATATGAAATTAATACTATTAAATTAAAATATTAAGATTGGTCTATAATGAAAACGAATTTAGTGGGGAAAAGATGTTATTAATAGCTTTCGTGTTTTATTATTAAGGAGTAATTTCTGGCGCGTTAATTAACTTTTTTCAGTTTTGTTCGTCTTTTCTTATACAATTATACAATTTTCACATTGAAAACGTAGTTATTTCAATGTGAAAATTGTATAATTTAAAATCGATCACGCAAGTGGGCTCACTCACCTAAATTCCCCGTTCGGTGGTCGTTCTGTAATCGAATCGATAGCTTATAGAAAATGCATGTCCTTTGTCAAATAATAATTAAAAGTGCATTACGCGACGAACACGAAAATATTGAAACGGGTCATATTTGTGTCGAGAGTGAATAATATATGAAAATGGGGGCCAACATGCTTACTGTTTGGTATTATTAATTACTATAATTATAGGTAGAAAAATGGGGTTGTGTAATTTATGATAAATGTTTAATTAGATCGTATATTTTAGCTCAAATATTCATTCAATTTATTAACTTATTATTAATGTTTATGAACGAGTTGTATTTTCTTAATATAAATTAAAATGTATAAGTGATAAATTTCATATAGAAAAGAGTATTATATATTTAACCTTTAACTACTCACACCGGTGTAAAAAGTACACTAATATTCTAAGAATCAATACCACGACTATATTATCTTTCCCCATCTATGTCACTTAACGTAACCTATGCCCAAAGTGTTTACTAAACGCTGGTGCAATATTGTGTTGACTGCTGCATAAATAATTTGTTTTGTGCACGTTTGTTCTTGCTCTGCAGTGTTAGTGTGGTAGAAAACGATGCTGATGAATATATAGAGGGCAATGATTCAGAAATTATTATATTAATATATTACAAATAATTACGAATCTAATAAAAAAGCAAATTAATACATATAAATTCCATGGCGCGAGTAGTTAAAGTTTTAATATTTTATTGATCTTTCAGTAACAAAAATGTTAAGTAGAATATGCCCGGCACATCCACATTGTCTATTAAATTTTCGTTAACTTCGATTGATTTTAAACATCTTCTTCATACACTTATAATAACTTAAATAATTATAATATTTATTTCAAAAAAACATAATATAAACTTTACACAATAACATAATAACAAAAATGAAAATTAACTAAATTGCTGCAAAGTGCTAATAACTTAAATTGCAATAATTATTTATCGAATAATCCACATCTATGTTTTGTAATAAACTATTGTTAACTTTGATTGATTTTATACTTATAATAACTTAAATATTAATAATATATATTGTTACAAGCATAATATAAACTTAATAACTTAATTTGCACTAATTATTTATAAAATAGGAAATTACATATCTTCATAAATAATATACAAATATTTAAATCGTAAATCATAATAATTTAATTTTTAATTAACTTGAACATGGTTAAAATATAATAATCAAATTTTTCTTTAGATTTCTATTAAAATACATTAAATTTTATTAAATTTCAGCAATATTTTCAATGAATAAAATATATTGTACTTTTTGGTAAAATCAGGCAATTTTAAACTTAAATCGTATAATAAGTGAATTATAGTGATTTAGATTGCATAAACGGATTAATTTTCAAATATATATTTAGTAACAATATTATTTTATAAACTTATTTCATGGTACAGGTATCCCCGACTTACGAACTAGTTCCATACCAAAGGGTTTTTCGTAAGTCGGGGGAATTTAAAAAAAATCAAAATATAGTTATATTACCACACTTTATCATGATTTTTACTTTTATATATGTTAAATTCCGTTTATACTGACTGCATAAATTTGAAAAATAGATTAAAATAAACAAAATACTTATAAATAGTTTTCAATTCAACAATCTTCCAAAAATATTATATTTTATTGAAGAAATTATCAATTTTTGTTTGGACAGTTAATTTTTTTATTTTGTTCGTAAGTCCGGGACTTTGTAAGTCGGAGGATACCTGTATTCTACTATACAATTTTCTTTTTCGATACTACATAAAAAATAGTCTATACAGAAGCGCCTAATATTATTTGAATGTAGGTTTATACTCACTTGGTGCTTCCAATGCAAAACAAAGCATTTTTATATACAATATAAAGATTACTTTAAAGTACCAACAAGTATTTAGATCTGTTTCACGTCTCTTCATAATTCGGTCAGACTACAAAGTTTAACACATTTTTTTAAATTATTTTATGTAAAAATGAATTCAATGATTGATTAATTAATAACATTACAATTAAAACTTCTGTTCGTGGAGCAGAGCTAAAGTCACGTATCAATTAAATATATTTTTAGAAAGTTGCCGAAAACTTTTTTCGTATCCATCGAATTCTCACTCGTACTGGCTTTATACAACTATTTTCCGATGGCTGCGAAATTATTTATCTTTCGAAAAGTTTCCAGACACGTGGGACCTTCGAAATACTTTTGAATCATTTACGAGTCGAAGAACAAACTGAATTTTTCAAACCGACAAATTGAAACAAGCATAAATATACAATTTCTATCATGAGAATGTACTAACTAATTAAACAATGTTAGTAATTATAATTGCAAAGGATTTTATTTCAATTTTAAACCCAAAAATGAAAAATATATTTTTTATAATTTTATACAACATTTTTTAAATTACACTTTGCAAAGACATTTGATTAAAAGTGAATTAAAATTGAGCGAATTCTTATAAAAAAAATATTTAAAACTTTTAATTGCTAAAACAATATTTCTTAAAGTTTTCTGAATGTTCGTTTGCATAAATACCATAACTAGTATGATTAATAGTATTAAGTATGTTTTGGTATAAGTTTAATGTAATTTGCAGAGGGAAAATTAAGCAACAAAGAAATTACAGTAAAAAGAACTTTATTGCATGCAATTTTCTTGCGCTCCTTTTTTGTACCCCTTTTTTATTCCCTTGTTTGTAATTTATGAAGTTTATATTTTGTGTATGCACACATTTCCGCCCTCCTGCAGCCTCTCCTCCCCCCCCCCATTTCGTCTCTCCACCTAAAATTTGTAATAATGTAAATTGGTTCGTTGAGCCCTTTGCTCGGCTCATGCACACTCACATAAACCGGGGTTTGTAGTGCATTATTTTATTATTATTATTCCTCTTACTTCTTCTTTTTTTGTCTTTTATTTATATACCTTGTTTTTTTTGTTTGTTCATCCTCGTCCTCCTCTACTTTGGTACGTGTGGATGTGTACATTCATGCGTCCCCATTTTCTGTCCGGCGTTCTCTCGTATTTATTCAGCTCGCCTGCATTACGACACTGCTTAAGAGAGAAGGGGAATTTAATATGGAAGTAGTTTAGTGAAAAATTTCCCACACGCTCATAAATTTCCCTTGGCTGTGTGAGAGGACGGAGAGAGGGTGGAAGGAAAAACGCGCGTCCCGACGTTCGGAATATTAAATAACTCGCGGATGGGGTTAAGGGTGGGTTTTTTTCTTCGCTCCTTTCGACGGCGCGAATTAAGATGATACAATGATACGTCGCCGTTTTAGCAAATTGCTTTCACCATTATCAGTGTTAAACATACAATGGGCACGTAAAGTGAACGAATTACGTTAGTTTACAAGTCCTAAATAAAAATTTACAGAACCCCTAAGTACCATGGATGGGTCAGAGTGACCCACCTGATAGATAACCTTTGCGATATTCTGTTATTTTGTACTGCACTTTTGAGAAAGAGCAAAGCAGTCGCGGCGAGTGGTACTTACTTCATTGTAGAGTATATTTCGGGTCAAAATGACCCATTTATAGCAAATACGATCTTGAAATATCATCAATATTTGGATTTCAAAGTGGAATAACTAATCCCATGTACTAAAACTGGGAAAATGATATCCAGTAATGGTGCATATTAATACTGTAAATGAAAATATAAAAAAAACCTGTATGACATTTCTATAATGAGACTAAATCAGGTGTGGATGCATTAGATGAAATCGCTGGTATAAAGTAGAGTTATATATAAATATTTAATAATCGGGTCATTTTGACCCATATGTGGTACTTATGTTTTATTTATTTATTTATTTGTCCGTAATAGGTGCGGGTTAACTAAATGTATAACAAAATACGATATTATTTGTATCAATTAATAATGATTAATAATAGTGACGTCAAGTCACAGATCGACAGCGTTATTAATGTTACAAATCATTGCAAACTAAGTCTTAACTCGAAATATTATAGACTTATTAACAGTTTGTATTAATTATGAATGTTAATTGTTATGTAATATTTATTTATAATTTGTTTGGAGATTTGCATGAGGAAGTTCGGATCTACGTGATTTCGTTGTGCAAATTCAATCGCACAGTATTTAATTGAATCGCGTCTCGTCCAAAGTTCAACACTGATACACGTATTGTTCTGCATTTCTGTACTTGATTGATGGAGGTGAAGACTGAGAGTAAATTAGAACCGGGCGCATCCACCGTTTGTTCATGAAGTAATTTACATGTACAATACAAAGTTGTGTGATTTTTTTGATCTAAAATAGTTTGCATTTAATTGAATTGAAAGATTTGTCTTAACATGTGTTATAATTTCATCCATTTCAATCTAAAAGTCCAATATTATATGTAATTTGTAGATAAGATTGATATAAAATAGAAATAATTAATAGAAACCAAGAATATTCCCTATAATTTGTTACGTTAGATTTTTTGTGTATTACTGATTGTTCAGAAAGAACAAATGGATGTTAACAATGAATATTTTTTTCAGGAATTTTTCGATCGTCTGGGAACGTACGACAGCGGCTTCGATATTTGGGGTGGAGAAAATCTGGAGCTGTCCTTCAAGACGTGGATGTGCGGTGGAACTCTGGAGATCGTTCCATGTTCTCATGTGGGTCACATCTTCAGGAAGAGGTCTCCTTACAAATGGAGGACGGGCGTGAACGTCCTCCGCAGGAATTCCGTGAGGTTGAGCGAGGTGTGGCTGGACGAGTACGCAAAGTATTACTACCAGAGGATCGGCAACGATAAGGGTGACTTTGGGGACGTGTCCGGTCGCAAGTCTCTCCGCAAACGGCTCGGCTGCAAAAGTTTCAAATGGTACTTGGAGAACATTTATCCGGAGCTCTTCATACCCGGCGAGGCCGTCGCTAATGGAGAAGTAAGATTACGTTTTCTTTACTTGTTTTCCAATTTTAGCTGCCAGGATTTCGCCGGACTCGCCGCCCCTCGAGGGGCCGCAGACGCTTCAGCCTCAGCCGCCTCCACCGACGTTTTTCCTTTTCAGCTTAAAACGTGCGACAGATAAATGGAGTGCCAATGGAACGGAGCGAGATGGAGCTCTTCTCTCTCTATATTCTCTCGCAGAGGGATGACTCTGAGAGGAACCTTCAATTTATTTATTTTCCCCTCCGACGCTTTTTGTTTCTCTTCTTTTTTTCTTCTATATATGTGTTTGATTTTCTTTTGTTCATGGGGAAGAGATTTTAAAATTCCAACTGACACGACCTGCAGCGAGGGCATTATTTCCCTTTCCTCCCCTCGTATCGTTATTTAGCAACGTTGCTGGCCCGTGTTTACCGTTCCAGCTCGGATTTCTACCAACAAAAAAAAACTTCGAATTGTTTGATTTTTCCTGTCTCTAAATAAAAGAAACAACAGCCAGGATAGGTTTTTTGTTCCTGCTCCACCGAGGAAACTGATCCATGTTTCGAATACGCAAACAATCCCCATCATCGATCATTAAATATTTATGCATTTTATCTACGTTGTTATTTTTCTTTAGAAACTTTAGCGGACGAAATTTATTACTTAAACTTGCATCTTACAAACATTGACAATTAATACTACTTTTTTCCTTCTTTAGAAATATATGAAGACGATTGAATCACAGTTACAATTTATTCTCACGATGTTAATAATAAATACTTTGTTTTAGGTATCATAATTCCAAGTTTTTTGAAAAACTGTTAATAATTGTGTAGATTTGATGTAATAACTTATATTTACTTTGATTATAGTTCTGAGGTGGGAGAGAGGCTAAGGATCATGGTTATTTTATGAGTTTTGTTTGTAAATATTTCTCTTTAGGTTGTTTCTTAGTTTAGAGGTGGCTGAAGCTGAATTATGTGGATTATTGTATACTAAATAGCTGTAATATCATATATTCTATGTTTGTTTATCACTCGTGCAGATACGGAATTTGGGTTATGGTGGCAAGACATGCCTGGATTCTCCTGCTCGGAAGAATGATCTTCACAAGGCTGCAGGGCTGTACCCGTGCCATCGGCAGGGTGGAAATCAGGTGAGCTCGGTGCTGGCAGCGCCCTTCTGATGTGTTCTGTTCTGTTGCACAGGTCGCCAATTTTGATAGAGATACGTGCGTCGATTCCGCGTGTAAGCCGGAGGACATGCATAAACCGGTCGGCCTTTGGCCCTGCCACGGTCAAGGTGGTAACCAGGTATTTCAAAGATTCGCACAAAGATGGAGAGAATCGTGCAGTTTGCTCTAAACGCGATTAATAAGTATCTCACTTACTCACTCACTCTCTATATCTCTATCTATTTCTATATTTGGTTGCGGAACGAAACTAACATCCTCTAACCAAAATTGTGCACATTCGTGAGTCATTGAAGCGCGGCGCGCGTTGCTTTATATAATAAATTTCGCCCGTTTTATTATCCGAGAGTAAGCAGATTATTGTGTTTCCGCTTGCCCTCCTTACCAGATGCCGCAAATAAAACGTTACTTTATCGTCCGGCACGCGCACATTGTGTTTCCTCATCCTCATCTTCCATCCTTTCTCAACTTCCATCCGGAACTCGATCTGCATCTCTTAAGAGCGCAATCCCAGCCCCAATTATGATTTTCTCCACCAAAAGAGCGGCGCATTCAAAGACTCCCCTTTCCACTCGCACAAGAAAGTCTGTCTTCATCGTCGCCAACAAACCTTTAGCTTTGATTTGCTTTGATGCTGCTCGGAACTCAAACAACATTTTTCAACTCATTATGCGAATCCGGCTCTGCCCTCTTCCTCTCTTTCCTTCTTTCTCCCATCCCATTTCCATCCACATTATTCATTTTTACGCGGTCTCACCTAAAACTCCTCCGCTCGTTTCAGCGCTGCGCGAAGCATACAAAAAAAAATTACTCGCCAAGTTTATACTTCGATTTAACTTTAATCCAATTTTCAACTCGAAAAAAAAAAACAATTTGCATTTATATTCCGAATAATAATCTGCTGTTTCTACGAGATTTCATACATTTTTTTGTCCTTCTTGAAATATTTATAATTCCTGAATGGTAATTTCCTTAAACTGCCAACTGCCATTCACTAACCGTGAATTATACAAACGTTTTACTTTGTTTACCTTCTTCATAAAAAAACATTGTTTCAGCGTTTTAATCTAATAATATATACAGTTAGCTCTCACTTAACGTACATTCGATAATACGTACATAATTATATATATCTCTATGAGAAAACCAAAGTATATGAGTCTTTTAAATTAGACATAATAATGATGAATCAAGTTGAAAATGTATTAATTTCTTGGAAATACCGTCAAATCGTCAAACTATTACCATCCTATTTTCCGGCAACCCTAATCCCAATTAATTCATTCGACCTAATAAAATGCAATGGGCGTGAAGGCTTATCAAAGACCCAAGGCTAATTTGCATGCCGCGTCCCATTAATCTCGTTGCGTAATCTTTTGCGGCGGTTCAAATTTTGTGGGGCGGTCTTCGACCAGAAGGGTGGAGAAAATTCGAGGTGGGGAGGAAAAGGGAAATTCGACCCTACCGTCTTCGCGTTGTGCCCTTCAGCAATCATCATTTTTCAGTTTAATTCGTCCCGCTCGATGTCGTCCTGGGAATCACGGCGGTTTCGGGAATTCCGAAGGAGGGTTGAGGAAAAACAAACTTTATGGGATTGCCTGACCATTTCATCGTTTAATGGACGCACTTTAGAGGGTTCGCTAATTCAATGACGAACGCTCGCGTTCTTTTATAACAACTTTTATGCAAAGCATGCGGGTCGATGCGAGCAAGTTCCATGTGTTTAAACAATAATCGTTTGAAAATGAAGCGGGAATTGGAAGAAAGGAGGGCGAAAGGATGAAGGCGCGTTTGCCTTAATTGGCGTTGGGGAAAATGTGCATCGGAAACTCGTGAAACAATGTTTGCAACTTTCGGAATCGATACGTCTAGTAGTATATAAAGCGAAAAGAAAAATGGAAAATAGCGAAGCAACTAAAACAAGTAACTTTTAACTGTACAAATACAAATCATCCTGGAAATAACTTCATCATATGCATGGAACATAAAAAAATCACTAAAATCGATGTAACCGTAACCGATTCAGTATAATTTTTACTGGTGATTTACTCGAAATAACTAAATCGTCCACAGTGCATGAAGGATCAACGTATAAACAATAATAAGCATGTTTTAATTTTTAATTTGTCGTTTTTTTCTAAGCATTTGGATTGAATCTTATTAATTCTTGTTGTTTTCTTCTCTCTTTGTTTCTTTGAATATTCTAGTATTGGATGCTGAGCAAATTGGGCGAAATCAGGAGGGACGAGGCGTGTTTGGATTACAGCGGACAGGAGGTGATCCTTTATCCTTGCCACGGCTCGAAGGGCAATCAGTATTGGGAGTATGATCAGGACACGAAGCTGCTGAGACACGGAAGCAGCGACAAGTGTCTGGCGATCGACGAGGCCAAGACGAAGTTGGTCATGGAGAGCTGCGATGCAGATTACGTGCGTCAGAAATGGACGTTGGAGAACTTCGACGCGAAGAAGTTGCAGTGAAAACGAGGAAATTAAATAAGTACGAGTAAAGCAAACGAAAAATAAAAAGAGTATGAATTGAAGTGCGTGCGTTAAGTGAGTGTATGCCCTCAAATCGAATCGACATTCCAGTTTTGTTGTAATTTATTTTTTTGATAAGTTACGAAGAAGGACATAAACATATCCAAGTTGCATATCTGACAAGTGTACATATTTAATGTTTAGAACCAAGAGATATATACACGCATATATATATATACATATACACATATATATTATATGATGATATCAGTGGGAAGTGTTTTTATTTTTAATTATTACTTATTTTTAAAAATTAATATGATTTATTAACGTTCGTTGTGATTTCTACATTCCTAATATATAAAAAAAAATATTGCTCAAACGTGGCTCTGATCCTGTTCACTTTGCGAGATCAATTCTAGTCCGAGGACTCTGAATTACAATTTTTGTTAATTGCCATATTAAGTTTGTTTTTCTTCTTTTAATTATGTACAGCGAAATTAAATGAGAAAAAAGATAGAAAAAAAAAATTATAAATATATATATATCTATGTAAGGACTTCTATGTGATGCTACGGTACTTAAGTTCATATCTATTATTATCATCATTATATTCCATATCAACTTACATGATGTTTCTTTGATATATCCAATATAAATATATATTCCAGTCAATTTAAAAGAAAAAAAAATAATAAAAAAAAATACGCAAATTTATATATAATTATTGTATAAAATAAAAACACACACAAAAAAAAAAAATAATAAAAGGAACGCCTCTATTCGGCTCGGACCCCGATTGCAACTTCTTTCCACACCCCCAAAAGCATTCCGTTTCGAAAAGTTGGTGTACGTTTGGTTGCGCTTCTGCGAGTTGGTCCGAGCTCAATAGTGGCTTAGATTTAAAAAAGAAAACGTAAAGTTTAAGAGGGAAATTGCGTAGAAAACCTCTATTGTTGTTATTATTATTATTAATAATTTTTGTTTGTGTATCCTAGAGTATATATATATCCACTAATAGTTTTATTATTATTATTCGGTAGGCCAGTTATTAATTACGGAAAAGTAAGATGTATTTTTGAAATGTGCCTTAATTTCTTGTAAATATAGAAAAAAAAGAAGATTGAAAAACTTGAATTTGTTTTGTGTTGAAGAAGAAGGAAAATCATTTTGTCTTTATAAATATCACAGCATTTTATTCAATTCATCTAAAAAGTCTAGGCGAAAAGATTATTATTAATATTATTATTACTCTTATTTAGTTTTTTTTTTGTTTCGTTTCTTTTCTTGTTTCGATTTTGTTTTAGATTAAATAATAAATAGGTGTTGTACGTTTAAACGTCCATAATATCCTTTGGTTTGGTGTCGTCTTTGTCGGTGAGGAGACGGTCGATGTCTTCGGGGTTGTAGTAGACGTGGAAGCCTTTCGGGGCGAGACCTTCGAAGATGGCGCAGACGCTCGGTTTGAGGTTGAAGAAGAACAGTGGTTGTCCTCTGGAGACGAAGTCTTTGGTGAGGGTTTCGATGACGGTTGCTGCGGTGTAATCGGCGCCGTAGATGTGCGAGCAGTCGATCACCACTGGGACGCCGTTCCTGATGGAATGCTTCGTCACGAGATTCCTCACGTAATCGACTGACGGGAAGATCAGGCATCTGTCGGGTGTCAGCATCAAGTATTCAATTCCTCCGCGACTGACCAACTTCTCGATCGATAGTTTAGGACGGGCGGCGTGGTACAGGATGAAGAGTAGGTTTATACCGATTCCCACCAAGATGCCGATCTCCAGAGGAAGCACCAGGCAAGCAGCGAACGTCACGAATCCAGGAATCAAATCGCTCTCTGCGATAAATTATTAAAATTAGTTAATTACTTTGCTTGGAGTAAGGATAACAACTCACTTTTGGTCTTCCACATCGGCTTGATGACTTTGACTTCGACCATGAAAACGACAGCTGCGATAATTATAGCGGCCAAAGCGGATTTCGGGATGTAGGAGAAGTAAGGCGTGAAGAACAGCAGCGAGAGGATTACCAAAAGGGCCGTGTAAAGACCCCCTAAAGGAGTCTTCACTCCGCTCGAATTATTCACGGCGCTCCTCGACAAAGACCCCGTACCGGGAAAGCCCTGAGCGAAAGAATTAGCCACATTCGACAAGCCAATAGCTATCAATTCCTGCGTCGCATCCACAGCTTTTCCATCCGCTGCAAATAAAAATAAAATAAATAATGATTGAAAGAAGTTGTAAGAATCGAACAATTACCAAAAGCTTTACAGATGGCGATGTTCTCCAGCAGCGCAATTAGTGGGACGACAATCAAACCGGAGCCGAGATTCTTCACCATCCCGATGAAAGAAATTGTTCCGTCTTCCGTTTCGACGCTGAAAACGGGAGCTTTGAATTCGGGCAGCCCTTGTGGAATTTCCCCAATTAGTTTAAATGGAGGCTCCCCGCTCGAGAATAAATAGCCGACGACGCCGCAAAGAATCACCAGGATCGCATTCCTCGAAGTGCCAATTAACCACAACGTTTTGTTTATTATTTTGTGGACGATCGTCGGCTGCTTCGGTTTTGTTACTCCGTCGGATTCCTGGCTCGGACCTATCTTCACCATGGCCACCAGCTGGAAGTTTAAATCTCGTTAGAATCGAACGCATATTGAATGAATCTATAGATTTACCCTCATCAGCAGCAGGATCACAATGCACACAACACCCAGAACCGTGTCCCAGGTTCTCGTGTCCTTTATGTTCTCTCCAATACTGATCCACATCTCCAGAAACGTATTGCCCTTCACGACAATGCCCAGCACGTCCTTCACCTGCGACGTGACGATGATCAGGGCAACGGCGGACGTGAATCCGGACGATACAGGCCCGGACACGAAGTCTATCAAGAAACCTACAAGCAAACTGTAATTAAGCAACTTCGTTTAACGCAACGATCTAAAACTATACCTAAACCGAGGAGTCCCATCAGCACTTCTATCAAACCTGTGAGGAAACAGAGCAAAATTGCGTGTTCTATACCCATGCCGTTAACGGATTGGAATGTTAAGAGCGAAGCTATGGCCGTCGGTCCCATGGGGACATCCTTGCAACTCCCGAAGAGTATGTACACCAGACAACCCAAAAACGAGCCGTACAATCCAAACTGCAAATTTAAAAAAAAAAACGGATTAGTGAATTACCATTCATTAGTAACGGAAATTAAGCGCTTACCTGTGGAGGTAGACCTGCGATGTTCGAGTAAGCCAACGATTGAGGAATTACCGTTAAACCGACCGTGATTCCTGCAACCAGATCCCCGACGGCGCAGTCCAAATTGTATTTGGGCAACCAGTTGAGGATCGGTACCCTTTTGTACAGCATTTTCTTGGTGCAGGCGTTCCGAGCCTTCCGCTTGAACCACGGCACGAAATTGTCGAAAGCTGACATCTTCTCATCATCCACCACTAAATTAACAAACAAAAATCAATAAATTCTAAAAAACTGGTTTAATTATTTTATTTTTTAACTTACAAATAAACGCGTTGCTACCCCTAATCTCACTGTCGTTATTAGCAACGCTGTTCGTGGATACGGCAAGAGCAGGATTGCTGTAACCAACGCCTAGACCACCACCTCCAACTCCTTGCAAATCTCTTTCCTGCTTCATCTCCATTCTATAACAAACAAAAAACATAATTAAATTACAAAAAATAAACTCTCCTTATAATCCTTATTTTAAACTAAACTAATTAACATCTCAGTTTCTAAATCTTAATTAAGAATTTGTAAGTTTTTTCCTCTAAATTAGAACGTACCACTTTTGATACCAAACACGTAATTAAACTATTATAACAATAATCATTTCAGTTTCAAATTAATTATTGTATATTTAAAAAGATACAACTTGTAATGTTATCAAACACATACTGAAACTCTCCAGAAAATGATTGAGATTATATTAGCAATGATGACGAGGGAAGAAAAAAATCCTTTGTTGTTTGGGACGAAGATCACGAAAACGTGCGTTTAATTTAAAATTCTACGGGGAAAAGCCGTAACGCTCCGATGAAATTTAACTAAATTGACCGCACGGATCGACGTAAAATCCAATGAAATAAACGATCGTTTCATAAATTAGAATGTATAACTTCAACAAAGAAAAAAATAATGAATGTGCATTTTGAATAAAATTGTAAAAAAAAAACTTACTACGAAATCAGTCGTGTCTCGTATTTAATTAAGTAATATTTGCTTTGTTTATGTAGAAACATGAATGAAAATGCAATTATACTAATGTTTATGAAGTGTTTAAAATGATGAATAGACACGTTTGTTTAATTTTACTATAAATCTGTATTCAATCTTTCAATCACTAAAACACATCTAAATATGATTAATAATAAAAGTAAATGATTACAATTAATTCACGTCCGAAATTTGTAATGTAAGATAATAAAAACAGTGAATTTAAATGAAAAGAAAGTTGATGTGATTCAAACGTGTCGAGTCTGAACTACAATAGATTTAATGTGGTCCGATTAACCTTCATCAAAAGTGCGAATATCAGTTGAGTCTATCGAAATAAAATCCTTGAACTAAATTAGGTTTGCGATTAATTGGGTATTGTGTGTGTGTTTCTTTTTATTATGTCTGCTTATACTTAATAGTTTTACCAAAACAATTGGTGGAACAAATAAAATCAAGGAATCTCGTGTTCCGTATTATTCTAAACGATCTTTGTATAAATACATAATAACATATTATTGCGAATTGTGTTTAAAAGAAAGAGAAAAAAACACAAAATAATTGGCAATTAAATAAAGCATATAATTTTTTTTGCAAATCATAATCTTTTGTAGTTTGCAATCATGTAAATTTTTCTTCAATACGGATTATTGTTAAATTTCAATTCAGTAAACACAAATTTTTGAACTTATAGTAGAAATAACGTAAAATCTAATTAATAAATCATTATCCAAGTATCAATTAAAATGAGAAATTAGATCACAAATCTTTGTTTTTTTGTAAACTAAATAATGAACATAATAATTTGTTTCAATTGGATTTAATTCACATACATAAATTTTGGATTTATTACTTAGAATTGAAATTTACCATTTATCTTTTAACAAGATTTAAACATAAAAAAAATATGTAACAAAAAAGTTAATTGGGTATAATATTATTAATTCACTTGCGTCAATCTTTATATCGCAATATTTTAAGCATGTAACAATTAATCAAACGTTGACATACATTTATTCGAAACTCGTTTCTCGAAGAGATTTATACATATAAAAAAAAATATATTTATACAAATTTTAGATTACCTTACTTTGTAAATATTCAGTTTCATTGCTGCTTCTGTTGTTTCTAGACAATTCTTTTGTTTTTTAATAATGTAAAAGAGTCAATAAACAATATGAATATGTAGGCCAAGCAAACGTCTCTAGAGAAGTTTGCCAACTTTGTTTTCGCATGGAACGTTACAATTCTACATCAAGAATTACTGCAGTGAAGTAAACAAGTGTTGTTTTTTTTTGATAATATCATTTGAAGAAGAAACATGAATGATGAATTTTCTCAAATAACATTTATTAAAATATGTCATGTCAAAACGACGTTATGTCATCATCTTTTATTAGAAAAAAAACATCATAGTAACCTTAGTAACTTAAATATTTGTTACATTATTGATGTAACCTGTCTTTATAGTGACAGGTTACGTCAATTATGTAATAAATATATAAGTTACATTTTATGTCAATGTGATTCTTGTATTTAGAATTAAAAAATAAATATTAAAATTATTAAGTTTAAAGAAACAAATACATCATTAATTTTATGACATATTTCTTCAATACTTATTATATAAACATAATTATGTAACTAAGATAAAATGTTTTCAATAAATTTCCTGCCATGTCAATATGTCATTGTTTTATTAGAAAATGTCATTATAAAGAAATTATCTTTTATAGAATTGTAACTCAGACAAATCCTTTTCAAGAAGTTTCCAAAAATTATAATATACCTGTCATGTCAATATGTCAAAACGTTATCATATCATCTTTTAAAACTAGTGTCAAATGTCATTAGAACATGTCCTCATAGTAACCAAAGTAACTTCAAAATATGATACATAATTGACATAAAATGTCATTATAAAGAAATCATCTTTTCTCATATTAAATTCTTGTATTTAAAATTACAAAATAAATATAAAAGTTTAATTAAAGTTTTATATAAATATTAATAGTACAAAAACATTATTTTGATAGAACCAACAAATAAAACATTAATCTCAATAAATCTAGTTTTAATAATTATTATATAAACATTAATATGTAACTAAGACAAATTGTTTTTAAGAAGTTTTCTACAATTATATTATAACGTTTCATGTCAATATGTCAAAACGTCATCATGGTAACCATAGTAACTTAAATATTTCTAATATAATTGACGTATTTTTTCAATTATTTAAGAAAAATACATCTTATATCATCAAGTTCTTGTATTTAGATGTCTAAAATTTATATAAAAATTATTAAGTTTTTTGATCAAAATATTATTAATTAGATTATATTCTTTTTATAAAACCAAATCAATAATCATATTTAATATCACTAATAATTATTATACAAACGTTATTATTTAACTTAACTAGTCATATTGTTGTCAATAAGTTTCCTGCAATTCAGTCAATACGTCATCATGTCATTCTTTAGAGATCGTGTCAAATGTCATCATCTTTTGTTAGAAAATGTCATCATGGTAACTATAGTAACTTAAATATTTGATACATAATATTTGATCTTATATCATTAAGTTCTTGATTTTAGAGTTTTAAAAATTATTATGTTTCGAACAAAAATTGTCTTCAAGTAGTTTCAGTCAACTAAGAAAAAAAATTAATAGAAATTTGAAAACAAAAAAATTAACAATAAATATTTTACAATATTTGTAACAATTTCAACTTTTATAAAAAAAAAAATAGTTTAAACAATAATAATTATTATAATTTAAGTAAATCTTTTGTGGTAAATTCGTGTGATTATGATTAATTACAGCGCGTAAAAGAAAAACAATTGAATTCCTGAAAAACAAATGCGTGTTAGTTAACAAGCTGAACTTTCGTCAATTAAGTTTAAATGCGTAACTCGCAAAGTGTAATCGGATCTGGAAGGAAATGGATATATATTCCAATATCGAATTGTAATTGTGTTGTTGTTAAGCAATGTCGAATCGATTAAACCACGGTCAACGCCAATTGAAAATACTCTACGATTTTCCATTTATTAATTATGTGTTGTCTTGTATACCCACACGGAGAGATAATCAAAATATTTACATTACAATATTTGACGCCTCACATACAATAAAAAAAATAATGCGCACCAATTTGATTTTTTACTCTTCAAAATCGAACTCTCGAGAGATTAAATCTTAATTAGTAATATCCTGAGATTAAACCTGTCGAATTATCTCAGGGGCAAATTATTATTATTTTTTTTAATTTAAAGCAAACAAACAAAATATTTGTCCTGAGACTACTGTATTTCATTTTCGGATTATCACTGAATCGATTAACGTCACCGATAATTTAGATCGAATCCAGATAGAACAAAAAAATTAAACTGGTTTCTCTGATAAACGAAGCTATTGTTTCAAGTATAAATAGATTTTCCGATATTGAACGGGAATTTTCTGTTTATCGCTAAAAGGAATGATGGTAACTATTTTGTGATACAATACAAAGTTCTTACTAATTCCTTGATAATTGCATAGCAAGTTTTGCATATTTTCATAGACTTTCTGGTACCAAGGAATTACCTGCGGTTTATTATTATTTCTTTTAATTATCACTTATTTCCTTCTTACTTTCCCACGATTATCGACAAAGCATTTCCATAAAATATTGGAAACTTTACAACGGAAATAATACATTATTTACGATTTGTTGCCAAAAACTTTGTTAATTTAATCGCTGCGTGGAATAAATAAAAATATCATTTTTCTTTTACCGTAACGTGCGTAAAATTCGAGCACGTAACGCCAAAATTTGATGGTTTCTATAGAAACCATGCATTATTTACAGTTTTCGACGAAATTTTCGAGTGGAATAACTATAACTACTTAGTTTGCATACAAAAAGAATCTTTGCGCTGTTCATTCAAGCACGTAATCGAAACTTGGTAATACAATTATGCAATGAGTAGTAAAATTATTTAAAAAAATAGAATTTTTTGGAAAAGTTATAAAAATTAATGAAAAATATTGAGCATTAAAATATAATCAGTTTATTCTAAATATTTTTTGTTACTATAACGTGCGTAAAATTCGATCACGTAACGCCAAAGTTTCTGACGAAATTTTCGAGACTAATAGAAAAGTAAAATTATTTAAAAAATAGAAATTTTTAGAAAAGTTACAAAAATTAATGAAAAATATTGAGCATTAAAATTGAATCAGTTTATTCCAAATATAATTCCAAGTGTTAATTTAAGTTATTAACACTTGGTAATAATACATGATTTAGGAACTATGCAAACCTACAGTGAATAGTAAAAATATTTTGTGACAAAAACGATTTTTTTTTTGCAAAAATTAATAAAAATAAATGAGAAATAAAATTTCTTTAGTTTATTCCAAATAAATTAATTGCAAGTAGTAATGTAAGTAAACAAAACTTAGAAATAATACATTACATTACAAATTATGCAACTATGCTCTAAATAGTAAACATATTTCTAGAAAAAAAGAAGATATTTTTTTGGAAAAATGACTAAAGTTATTCAAAAATATTGATCATTAAAATTTCATTAGTTTATTGCAAATAAAGTATTTCCAAGTAGTAATTTAAGTAATCAAAACTTATAAGTAATACATTATTTGCGAATTATGCAAACCTGCACTAAATAGTAAAAATATTTCGAGAAAAAGAAGATATCTTTATGGAAAAATTACTCAAGTAAACTACTGAAGATTGAACATTAAAATTTCATTAGTTTATTTCAAATAAAATAATTCTAAGTAGTCATTTAATGCATAGAAAACACCAACTTTCTCAGAAGCTTAAATACTTTTTAATTACTAATCTTTTATTTTACAAATTTTGCAAATTGCTTTTTTTTTAATTAAAAGAAATAATTTTCAAATTCTAAATATAAATTAGATTTCAATTATGAAAATAAATAAATTAAAACACTTTTTATTGAAAAAATTGTTCTTGTCTAAATTAAATTATTTGAAAAAATTGTAAATATTAACATAAATTTAGATAAATATTATCTAAATGTATGTTTTTTTCAAATAGCATAAAATAACAATGTTTATGAGTAACAAATTGTAAATACAATTACGTAATTCATGTGTAAATACAAACTTTACGGCGTTTTTTTTAATTACACGCGGTGTAGAGTTTTATTTGAATTTGATTTTAATTCATCCAAAAAATTAGCGATTTACAAGGCTGCTGGACACGCCAGTCATTTTCGTTCATAATTAATTACGCTTTTAGTTCGAATGATTAATTAATGATATATTATGGTTGAAATCATGCAATTAACGAATTCATCAATAAATAACCAAAAAATATTGTATTAAGTCTAGCCAGGAAATTAGCGTATTTTACTCTATATTTTAATGAATCAGATTGACGCAGATTGTTTGTTTCTGCCTTACGATAATTATAATATGGCTTTAATTTTAAACAAGTAAATTAGTGAAAATATCGCTTGAAATTAGTGAAGAAGGAAATATAAAATAATTAAAATTCAATCGAAATAATGACTTAAATTGTTTGTTTGTTGTAGAACAAAATTAATTTAGATTTTACTTAATGAATATTACGTTTATACAATGTTGTGTTTCGCTCATAATTATAGGAATTGATTTATCGTGAAGTTGTCGATTCAATAAAAAGAAATCACTTTAACTTTCTATATTTTACATATAAATTCCTTTGAAAACGTCGATTTATAAAATAAATCTTTAAATTAGAAACTATTTATTAATAACAAATTAATAACATTCATATGAAATACACATTTCAAGTTTAATAGTTAAGCAATAAGTCTAGAAGAAATTAATTGAAAGGATAATGAAAATGCAATTTAATAATTTATATAAATTAAACACGTGTTTTTTTTTGATTTAATTTACTTTTTTTAACTTGATTATTTATGCATATTTCCACATATCCACTTAATTTGTATGTATTTCTTTTTGGGAAACTTGTGATGAATCATACCGATGTCCAATAAACATTGAAAACAACACTAAATTGATAATGGTTTTTCCTTATTATTAACAAGGCCATATTTCAAAATATATTTTTGTTATGGAATTAATTGGGAAAAACGACCACAACGTTATTATAATGTGTATTCAAAATAATTGGAATAACACAATAATAAATAATTCGAGAAAAAACAGAAAGAAAATATAAAACGAAAATCAATACTTTTTATATTTCATTATATTTTACTACATTTCTATTTCTAAAATGATAGTAAAATTAGATTAATCTATAAACTATTATATACAGTATTCAATTATAGTTTTAATCTGAATTTGAGATTTTACTACATTACTAAGCATATTTGAGATTATTTTCTTATAATTTAAAGATAAAAATTGTATTATATTTTTCAATAAGAAACAATAATTATTTTTGAATTTGATGATAAATGTTTGTGTATTTGCACTGTATTGTTTTGAATAATAGAAAAAGTAGTATAAAATACTAAAACATATATTTACATCTTAAAAATTAAAAAAAAAATAAGTTTTCTATAAATTAAGATAAAACTAATGAAATTATTTACAAACAAAAATATACTAAATAAACATATTTTTTCAGCATATTAAAAGTATTCACTAAAGAATGTATTTACATCTAAAAAAGTCGAAGAAAATTATAACTTTTTTATAAATTTACGATATTTTTATAGTAAAAATCATTTTAATAGTTTTAAGACTTTTAACGTTATTGCTTTATAATTATAATTGAGAAAATGTTATAAAATTAAAAATTGTCTTTCAATGTTAATGAAAAGATTTTTTTTTAATATTGTAAAGTATTGAGTTTATTTTCATTTAAATTGAGGAAAAAGTATTGAAATTATTAATAAATTATTAAAAAAAAATATAAATTTACAATATCTTTAATGTAAACATTCATTTAAAATTTTGAAGAATTTAAACGTTATTGCTTTAAATAAATAATTATAATGGAGTAGATGTTATAAAATTAATACTTTTCATTCAATTTTAATGATAAACTTTTTTTATTATTGAATTTATTAAATATTAAGTTTATTTAATATAAACTAAGGAAAAAGTAGTGAAATTTTATACTGTATTGTTTTAAATAATGAAAGACTAGTCAAAAAACTAAATAATATATTTACATCTTAAAGAGTCGAAAAAATTATAACTTTTCTATAAATTTACGATATTTTTAATGTAAAAATCCATTTAATAGTTTTATTAAATATTGAGTTAATTTCATATAAATTAAGGAAAAAGTAGTGAAATTATTAACAAACTAATAAATACTGAAGAAACATATTTTTGTACATATGAAAATGTTTCATTTTTAAATGGGAAATATTATTTTTTTACAATTATTGCAAAGTTTTGAGTATTTCTAGTTATATCAAAAAAAATATAAAAGATTGATAACATTCCAAGATATTAGTAAAGGTTAAAAATTACAATTGTTGTAGAATTATTTAAACAATTACAGACTTTCAATACAAATTTATATAAACTATTTTTTTGTAATTAGTGTGATTTATTATTTTGTGATTTTACTGGTATTCGCGATTTCATTTATCGAGCGAAAATCGATTGGTGAAAGTCTGATCGAATTTAATGTCTGCAGCACAAGAAACCTCTCAGAAGAGAGGAGAATTATCGTGCGTCGAAAGTATACCAGAAGATATGTGAATCGGTTAGAAGGTAAGAAAATAAATAAAAACAAAAACTAGTGTGTTTTAATCCTTACGTTAATCTGTGATCGTCTCCTTGTCCCATATTTATCCGCACACGCGCACCTTTTAAACAAACTTGTATCAAAGTGGAGAACAGCAACAGCAGCAGTAACAGTAACAAAATTAATGTTGTGAAAAAAGTTAAACAACTAAACAACAACTATAGGATCGAGGCACTTAACAAACTGAGCGCAAACCACGGGAGGGCTTCGAGTGCCGAATGGGTATTGAAATAATTCCAGTGCACCGCTCAGATTTTTATATAAGCCGCTAGGAATCTATGCTCCTTTTTTTTTCGTTCGTTCGTTCGTTTTAATTGTCGTCGTTTTTGAAAACGCAAACGAACAAAAATAAAGTTGGGTTTGAAGCGGCGCTCGTGCGCATGGACGGATCAAGAATTCGCGACCAATGGGAGCGAGTGACGAGTTGATAAATTACTGTTGCACCTTCGATCTGCTACTCCAATCCATGCATCCGTCCGTCCGAAAGCTCTCACCAAACGTCCACAACTGACCGTTTACACGTTTACGCTTACCATTAATAATGATAGGAAGTAAAAGTGCGTATTTCTCTCCCAATCTGTTGCATTTCCAGTTTTAAATTCATGTTTTTTTTTTTTAAAGAATCAAATAAACAATTTGGAATATTTACTGCTAAAACGTTTACTTTTTTTTATCAGAATACTCAGTTTTATTGTTGATTTAAAATGCAACAACATAAGCAACAAACAAAAATTTACAATGAACGGTGCATTTCCAGTTTTAAAGTTATTTTTTCTAATAGATGAAATAAACATTATAGAAAAGTTATTGAGAAAACTTTTACGTTTTTAAAAGAATATTTGCTTTAAAATCGTGTATTACATGAAAATATAAAACAAATTGTGCTTTTCCAGTTTTAAATATTTTTTTTAACGATTAAAGAAACTATTTTTAAAAGTTACTGCGGATACTTTTACTTCTTTCTCAAAATAGTCAAATTTATTGTTGCTAAAAAATGTTGTATATTTAATACTTTTAGATATTATTAATTTATATATTTCTTCAAGCTGAATTTGACACTATTTTTAATAAACTATTTAACAAAATACAAGTTTTCTTCTAAAATTTCAATAATATTTTGCAAGATTTTTATTGTTGCATACTGTACACGAAAATACGTAATAAATGTGCATTTCCAGTTCCCATCATTTTCGAAATGATGAAATAAAAAAATTGACTTATTTTTTAAAAATACTCAGTTTTATTGGTGCTTCGAACTGTTACATATTATACCCGAAAATAAGCAACAAACATTTCCAGTTTTAAACTTAACTTTTTACTTATTTTTTGTTTCGAAAGGTAAAATAAACAAAGTTACTGCGAAAATGTTTACTTCTTTATCAAAATAGTCTGATTTATTGTTGCCGTAAAATGTTGTGTATTATACAGGAAAATATACAATAAACATTAAATTTCCAGTTTTAAAGTTCTTTTTTTTCTGTAGGATGAAATAAGCAATTAAGAAAATTTACTGCGAAAACGTTTACTTTTTTTTATCAAAATACTCATTTTTATTGTTGCTTTAAATAAGCAATAAGCAACAATAAGCAACAAAATTTCAAGTTTTAAAGTTCAGGATTTTTTTTAATGGATGTAATAAACAATTTAGAAAAGTTATTGCGAAAACGTTCACTTCTTTATCAAAATAGTATAATTTATTGTTACATTAAAATTTTGTATATTATACATGCAATTATACAAGAAACAGTGCATTTTCAGTTTTAAAGTTTTTTTTTAACGATAAAATAAAAAAAATGTAAAAGTTACTACGAAAACGTTTATTTCTATATGATAATACAGTTTTATTATTGCTTTAAAAATGTACACATTGTACAGTTAAAGTTCACTTTTCTTCCAAAAGGATGGAATAAACAATTTGAAAAGTTTACTGCGAAAACTTTTACTTCTTTATCAGAATATTCAGCTTCATCGTTGCTTTAAAATATTGCATATTGTACACGAAAAGACGAAAAAAATAAATTGGAAAATCTACTGCGAAAACGTTTATTTCTTTATCAGGAAACTCAGTTTTATTGTTGCTTTAAAATGTTTCACATTGTACGAAAATATGCAAACAATTTAATGGCATTTTATATAACTCACATAAAAAAATTTAATATTTCAAATTATCATTGTTTTATTGTTTTCTAGTAAAACGTAACAATGTTTTTTTTTTTCAAATATTTACTAAAAAAAATCTCATGTGTTTTCTAATAAATTTTTACAATTTATTTTTTATATTAAAATATTTGATACTTTTAGATATTATTAATTTAGATATTTCTTTAAGCTGAATTTTACACTATTTTTAATAAACTATTTAACAAAATACAAGACTTTTTGCAATTAAAATTATTTCCAATTATTAAGAAAAAAAACTAGCAAAACTATAAAAATACGAAAAATACGATTTCAATATTGAATTCAAATATAAAACTATTTAGTACGTTTAATAAATATTTTTATTAATTTTTTCTCAAATTCAAATATATTAAATTAATTTAGTTATAAAATACCTTAAAAAAAATTTTAAAATTTTAATTAATTTTATAAAATTATAATTGCTTAAAAATACAAACAACTTGAGCATTGTTAGTCACAATTTGCTTTAAAAGTAAAATGTTATATAATCTGTACAAATAATGTAGAATGTTTTTTTTCTACATAATGTATTGCGTATTTTTCCATAAATATATTCAAAAAATGTCTCATACATAAAACTATTGTTGTTTGCAATAATTATTCAATATATTTGTGGTTGCCTTGTAAAATAATTCCATATCAAGAAAATGTTGCATGCTTAAGAAATTTACTTTCAATTAATAATATATTACTAATTTTTAGCATTTTTTACATTTTTTACATTTCTCGACAAACATAAGTATATACAAAAATAACGTAACGAATAAAAGGAAATCAACCAACTAAATTTAAAAAAATCATTATTTTCATACTGAAATTTATAATTTTTCACTAAATAAATTGTCTGAAAACTTTAATTATTTTTAGTTTACTCTCTAAATATTACAGTATGTTAATTTAATACATTAATATCAATTTTTGATAAGAAAAAAATAGATAATAATACGTGTTTTTGCTTACGCTTTGTACTTTCTAAAGAGATTTAGTAATCTAATAGGATATTTAAATGGATTAAGCGTAACTTATTAATCATTAATTCATGATCAATAACAAGTAGACTTTCATGAGGAAATCATAACAATTGAATCCTACATGATTGATTAAATAAACCTTTGTTTTGAACTTTAGACACATTTGTTTCTGTATTTAAACCCATTCGCATAGTGCGTGTAATCAGTTCCACGGACTATTTGAAACTTGAATAATCAAATGATTAAATACAAACAAAAAGAGTTTTGACTGTACAATATGTATGCAAACAAATTCTGCACAGGTATCCCCCGACCTACAAACAAATTTAAAATTTGAACAAATTCGACTTACGAACAACCGTTTGGAACGGAACTAGTTCGTAAGTCTATCGTACTATATTTTGTGAATTTAGTTTTCATATTCATAAACCAAACTATATTGATGATATTGATACCGGATTGACCAAAACCGCACTATGCGAGGTGTTACAATAATTAATTTATAACAGCATTTAAATTGCATTATTTGAGCACTCATTTTTTATCATATTTTCAAAGTTATTTCAAATAAATGAAAAAAAAAATATTATTTTGTGATTAAAATATTTACTTTAATAATAATAATTGCATGGACAAAAGACGTATTCTTTTGTTGGCCAACAATTTTTGTTCATATAATTCGCAAAAAATGTAGGATTAAGCAAACTGTAATTCCGATTTTTAAGTTAACTTGTTGATTTAAGTAGATAACGAATGCGTCAGAGGCTTTTGTGTAATGAAACTAAATGATAATATTTGTTTAATGCTTTTCTCTTTTTTTTTAGTATAATATTTGCGAGATTAGATGCGTAATTTCAGTTGTCTTAAATGTTGGGTGACTCGAGTTCTCGATTGGCTTTTATCGTGTTTTTAGTTTTGTTAGGAAAGTATAGGATTTCCTGTCGGCGAATCAGTAAACATTTATGGATTGGACTCAAATGATTACGGAAAACTTGTTATGTCGATCCGCGAAGAAGAGCAAGAAACAATTTCGAGTTTTTCATCTTTCGTTCTTATTTCGTTCCTTCGAAGAGAAAGAAAATCGTGTCAAAGAAATTTCAATATTTAATATAAGTAGTTGTTTTTCAAATATATTTTATCAAGTTATTATTATATGATTACTAAATGTGTAATAATTAAAATTAAATATTAATTAGGATAAAATTTTTAGAAAAAAAAATAAGAATCATTTTTTTATGATTGGATTAATGAACAACAAAATTAAAAAATAATTATATCTGAATAGAGAAAGTTACAAAATTATTAATGGAAATATGGGAAGTTCAATCAACCTTAACAAATTTCATATTTTTTTATAATTATTAAATAAACCAAATATAAATTAAGCTTTTCTAATTAAAATTCAGTTTACTAAAGTCTAGTATAGAAATAAATTGAGTTCATAAATAAATAAAATTATATAAAAAAAAATAAAGAATTAAACAATTTCATTATTTAATTATTTTTTGCATATTTACTCAACATTTTTTATAATTATTAAATAAAACAATTATATAATTAAGATTTTCCACTTGAAATGGAGTTTAGAAAAGTCTAGAATAGAAATAAATTGAGTTCAAATAAAATTATAGAAAACAAATACAAAAATTGATTTTTTTTGTACATATTTACTCTACATTTTTTTATAATTATTAAATAAAACAATTATATAATTAAGATTTTCCACTTTAAATGGAGTTTAGAAAAGTCTAGAACTGAAATATATTGATTTCAAATAAAATTATAGAAAACAAATACAAAAATAGAAGAATTGATTTTTTTTGTATTGAACATATTTACCTACATTTTTTTAATTATTAAATAAACTAAAGATATAATTAAGATATTCCACTTGAAATTAAGTTTAGAAAAGTCTAGAATAGAAATAGATTGAGTTCACATACAATTATAGAAACCAAATAAAAAAAAAATTGAAGAGTTTTAATAACTTTTTTTTAAGAATTTTCATCAATAACAAAGATATAAAAATATTATTGAATTATATATTTGTGGAAAGTTATAAATTCATTTTTTTTTTCAAAATTTGTCATTTTTTATGCACATAAATATAGTGTTCAAAATTGCTGCG